CCACACGAACACACACAGCGAACTTGTGTGTGTGTGTCTGCTGCCCCCTCTCATACCATGTCTTGTACACTGTAAAAAGAAACTGTTAAAATTTAACAAATGATAAATGACCTGCACTTGTATAGCGTCTCTCAGAGTAAGGACTCCAAAGCGCTTTACACTACAGTGTATCATTCACACACACTGACGGTGATGAGCTACGATGTAGCCACAGCTGCCCTGGGGCGCACTGACAGAGGTGAGGCTGCCGAGCACAGGCGCCACCGGTCCCTCCGACCACCACCAGCAGGCAAGGTGGGTCATGTCTTGCCCAAGTACACAACAGCAGAATTCTCTGTCCGGAGCCGGGATCCAACCTGCAACCTTCCGATTACTGGACAACCCGCTCAACCTGTTGAGCTACTGCTGCCCCCACTCATACCATGCCTTGTACACTGTAAAAAGAAACTGTAAAAATTTAACAAAAAAAATAGTGTAACAATTTGCACTCAGTTTATCTGAGTAAACTTTAACTAAAAACTTCAAGTAAATTTTATCTAATTACTATAGCAAAAAATCTCCTGAAAAGGGGTGTTAAATTTTAACACATTTGTTATATTTGTTTTTGATAAAAAAAAAATATTATTTAAATTTTATACATTTCATTTACTGGTAATTATTTTTAATAATAAAAGATTAACTAATTAATTAACACATTATTAACTGAAAGGATTATTTAAATGTTATAACAGTTTTTACATTTGTATTTAATGGTAAATCTTAGTTAAATTTTATACATTTTATTTTACAGGTAATTAAATTTACTACTGCTGCCCCCACGTAACCACGTAACCACGCCCCCTTTCAACCGGAGCAAAAAGGACAGAGAGGCAGAAAGTCATAGGCCAACTATTAATAACTGGTTCACAACATAGGTTCACACACACACACACACACACACACACACACACACACACACACACACACACACACACACACACACACACACACTCAAACAGCAAGGGGGAGGGGGGTGTAGAGGAAAAGAGCAGAGAAAAGGTGGAGAGGAAATGGAGGACACCAAGTGGTTAAAGGAAAACCTACAAGGTGCGCCCTGACCAGAGCGGAGAAACAAGCGTCTGGTCTGAACTGAGGAGCAGCGAGCAGCGGCCGAATTTTGTGAGCGCTTCGCCTCCCGACGGTTCGGCGGCTGGTATGTCCCCGGCCTCACTCTTCTTCTGTGGCCGTCTCCAAGTTTAGGTCCTCCACCACCTCTCTTACCCATGGTGTCCCACAAGGTTCTGTGCTGGGGCCTCTGCTCTTCCTCCTCTATCTGCTTCCTCTTCAGCACATCCTGAGCTCCTTCAAAGGAATCTCCTACCATCTTTATGCAGATGACATCCAACTGTACATCTCCTTTAAGCCCCATGAGATGTCTAAGCTGCAGCTGTTACACACCTGCTTAGACTCTATCAAAACCTGGATGGTGGGAGCTTTCTACAGCTGAATGAAGATAACCCCAGGTTTCCACGGGAGCCGTCAGCAGCACGTTACTGCAGCAGCACGTCTTGCTCGCGTAAGCTGCTGCTTGGCCCTTCCCACGAGACGCGAAGCAGCAGGGGAGCAGCTGCCACCAACAGAGCACGAAGTCACACGAGTGACTTCGTCAGTAAACACAACAACAAGCAGGAGAAAACTACAACATGGTTTGTGTTTTATGTTCTGTCCGTTTTATAATCGCCAATACGGACCTGAAAAACAAAGGAGACCGCTAGCTGGGTGATAACTTCTCACGGGGACGCACAGTTAGTAACCTTTTTTAAAAGTAAAGAAACACGGAAGACAGTATGTTCTTTATTCTGAAAATCTCGGTAGCTTCTCTCCATTTCCGCGTCCGATTTCCTGTCTTTCCTTCTCCAAAAATGTTGAACTTGACCCGTTTCAGAGGCGTCGCGCGTAGAAAATAGAACCGGCGCCTAAAGGCCGCGACATGCTGCTCCTGAGACGCGGCCGACTCGCGCTGCTGACGGCTGCCGTCGGCTCCAGTGGAAAAGGTTCTGTTGACCACAGCGGTTCCTCTCAGCAGCTATGACGTGCTGCTGCAGTAACGTGCTGCTGACGGCTCCTGTGGAAAGCCGGGGTAAGACTGAGATCCTCATCTGTGCCCCAGACAAGCTGGTTCCCAAAGTCAGAGACTCTCTTGGTCAGCTTGCTTCCCACACCAAACTTTCCGTCAGGAATCTTTGCGTGACCTTTGACCCAGCTCTCACCCTGGATTCTCATGTCAGTTCTCTTGTTGGCTCTTCCTTCTTCCATCTCAGGAACGTTGCTAAGCTGAGTCCCATTCTGTCCCGCTCTGAACTTGAGACAGTTCTCCACACCTTCATCTCCTCACGCTTACCCCCAAATTCCACTACCTCCGCTCCGCTGCGCTCCGCTCCGACACGAACGCCGGAGCAAAATCGGTCCCGTTCTAGTCAATCAGAGCAATTGCACTACTGCGGCCGTGCTCCGGCAGTGCGGCGCCGTCCTCTGTTCCGGCGTCCGGCAAAAATAGAATCGATCCTACTTTCGCCGGACGCCGGAGCACCTCCGCAGTAAATGGACAGAAATCACAAACGCCCAACAGGAAAAGGAGCGAGCACAACTTCCGTTTTTCACAATAAACCAATAAACAAAAGGCGTTTTTTGTTTCATATGCACAGGTTTAACAACTTTTAACAACTATCAATGGCGGCTGAAGTTTAAATGCACAAAATAAGCCATGAATACAGTTTCTACTATCAAAGTAGTCACCCTTTGTTGATCCAAACACTGCTGATCTCTCAACACAAATGATGGGCAGATTAAACAGTTCATGTCGATGCTTCTCCCACACAACGGGTGTTTGGATCTAACTTCCGCGTTTATTGCTTGGACTGTATCGCAAGATCTCGAAAATCCCGCGCATGCTTGTTTGCCCACCTCAGGTCTCCGCACCGGAGCGGAGCCGTTGTAGAGCGGGTACCAGTAAAAATTGAGTTCGGAAGCGAGCGGCTGCGGAAGGCGGGGGCGGACCGGACCGGAGCGGAGCGGAGCGGAGGTAGTGGAATTTGGGGGTTTGACTACTGTAACTCTCTTTTCACGTGTCTGAGCAGAACCTCCCTGAACCGTCTACAGGTGGTTCAGAACGCCTGTGCTCGGCTTCTGACCAAGTCCTCCAAACACACCCACATCACCCCGCTTCTCCTCCAGCTTCACTGGCTGCCAGTCAACTTCAGGGTTCATTTCAAGATCCTGGTTCTGGTCTATAGGGCCTTACATGGACAAGCACCATCTTACATTGGTGATCTTCTTAGTCCTGTTTTGTGAAGCGCCTCGTGATTTTTATCTTGAGAGGCGCTATAGAAATGATATTTTCTTCTTCTTCTTCTTCTTCTGTGGATGCTTCTAATCTAGAGATAATATGTGAAGTGAAGAGATTGGCTGCACCTGGCGGTAAGGCGTTTCCTGTTTCCTTTTTCAGTGTTGCACTCCGTGTAGCTGTTTGGTGTTTGGGGCTCGCTAAAGCTGATTTAATTTCTCTGTACTAGGATATCTCTGAGTTATCGTAGCACAAAAGCACAATAAAACACACATTTTCTGTTGTTCCACCTAGCTTTTAGGGAACCATTTGACTTCGCACGCAGTTTATTTGGTGTTGAACAGTTTGCTCGTCCAGTTAGCTTAGCCTCAGCACGGCTATGGCTACTTCTGTCTCTGCTTCTCCATCTCCTATCTCTTGCTCTCTGTGTCAGATGTTTAGTTACTCCTCTGCCTCCTTTAGTGATAATGGTACGTGTAATAAATGTAGCATTTTTGTAGCTTTGGAGGCGAGGGTGTCGGAATTGGAGTCCCGGCTCTGCGCTGTTGAAAAACCCGTGAACAGCCGTAGCTACTTAGCTAGCGCGGGGCTAACTAGCTCAGAACCACCCCATAGCGGTCCTCCAGTAGAACCCGAGCAGCCGGGACCTCAGGCCGGCTGGGTGATGGTACGCAGGAAGCATAGAACCCAGCCCGTGGGCCACCACCAACCCGTCCACGTTTCTAATAGATTTTCCCCGCTCAGTGACGCACCCACTGACAAGCCGACTCTGATCATTGGCAGCTCCATAGTCAGAAACGTGGCATTAGAGACTCCAGCAACCACAGTTAAATGTTTACCTGGGGCCAGAGCGGGCAACATTAAGTCTTATCTGAAACTTCTGGCTAAGGATAATCGTAAATACAGTAAGATTGTTATTCACGCTGGCGGTAACGACACCCGGTTACGCCAATTGGAGGTCACTAAAATTAATGTTGCTTCGGTGTGTAAGTTTGCCAAAACAATGTCGGACTCCGTAATTTTCTCTGGCCCCCTGCCTGATCGGACCAGTGACGACATGTTTAGCCGCATGCTGTCCTTCAACCGCTGGTTGTCTAGGTGGTGTCCTGAAAACAACGTGGGCTACATATATAATTGGAAAACTTTTTGGGGAAAACCTGGTCTGATGCGGAGAGACAGCATCCATCCCTCTTTGGATGGTGCAGCTCTTCTTTCTAGGAACATGGCCAGTTTTATTAGTCCTCCATGACTACCCAGGGTCCAGACCAGGAAGCAGAGTCATAGTTTAACACACCCCTCTGCAGCTTCTGTACTGTTACCCACCCACTACCCCATAGAGACAGTGTCCTGCCCATGGCCAAAATCACACAGATTAAAGGCACAGTCTGTAAGATTTAAATGTAGAATAACTTTTAAAATGTTTGATTTTGACCATCTGACCCAATTTTATTTAAAAAAAAAGTAAATAATCTTTAATATTTCAATTTTCTCCTAAGTCCCTCCCCTGCCCTGTAGAGCTCAGCCAATATTTCTGCAAGCCTAACGCGTTGACCAATAGCGCTGCGTTACCACCAGGGGGCAGCTGTCAATCATCGAGCACGAGCAGGTCTCAGCGTGCACAACAGTGTCACGCGCCTCACTCGGCTTACTGGAGCAACAAAACCCCAAATTACCGATTCCTCGACTGCCTTCCACATCTCAAAAACATTTAAAAAGTTTAAAAGCCCTTCTTCAAAAGTGGCTGTAAGACGTGTAAGACAGTCGAGTAGAATTTACATTGGAGATTGTTTTAAACGATGGAGAGATTTTCGTGATCAACACGGCCTGAAAACGGATGAAGAGTTGGCAAAGTATCTTTTGGACAGGTAAGCTATTTATTGTTTTTCAGATAAATTTACTTAAAATCCTTCTTTCACTGAAAGAAGTAATAGAGCAAACAAGCTTTGTATGCTTGATGTCCTATTGGCTAATGTAGCATTAGCTTGAATGCTAAGTCGACATGAATCGATGCTAGTCGAACTATTTATGCTATATTTGGAAGAAGTTGGAGCAACGAAAGGGGATTTTAGTTTTTTTTATATGGGAGCTAATGATTAGTGTGGCGTTTAACTATAGGCCATATCGGTGTATTGTTTTAAGCTCTTGTTTATAACTTCCCCGTTAGCGGGGTTCGGTTAGCATCTTGAACGCTGAATTAGATGTTTACACTTTCCTGAGCTGCGTGTTTGATTAAAATGAGTAATCAGCAGCTCATGTAGCACTTGTAGAAGTCTGAGGAGATGATTCAGCAGTTAGACTTAGGTCTGATTGATCAGGAACATATCCAAAACCTTTCGTTTCTATTAGCACTGGAAGACATATTGTGCTAACCTGGGTGGGCCACGTGTACAGATTACCATCTGATTTTGTGGTCTTACCTACGTGAAAACTCCATATTAAAATAAAAGGAATGATAATCAGCTCATGCAGAAATCTGTGAAGGCTGGAGAGACTTGTTTTATTACAGTGGAACAAAGATATCTGTAACCATTTTTGGTTTTGCTGCAAGTCGGCGAACACTTATGATGAGTTTTTTTAAGTACATTATTTGTATTTTCATATAAAAAAAGTGAATGTAACTAATCGCCACATATGTCTTTTAGGACATGTGGATCGGTCTACTCCATCATGTGACTGGAGAACATGAGTGGTCTCTGGATGCTTGTCAGCATGATCCTTTTGTGACAGAGAGAGAGACTGGATTCAGAAAGGCTCCACTCCACACAAAGCCCTCAGTGACATCATTCTCAGTGAACGCTGGCTGAAAGAAGTCCCAAAATATTTGAAATTCAGGTACTGTATTTAATTATAGCTATAAATAATAATATAATTGTTCTAAATGTTAAATTCTTGTTTTAGATCTACAGCAAATTTGGAGGCGTTTCACAACCATCTCCTAATGTATGCAAGCAAAAGATTCAGTTACATCCCACCTGTTTACGAGGCACGGATACTGCTTGCTACAATCACCACTCACATCGAGAAGTGAAGAGGAGAGCAGATGGATCGACACAGTATGCATTTATTTATTTATATTTTAAATGAAACATGGTCCAGTTTTAGTCATTTTTTATTAACAACTTCCTCAGATGAACAACCACAACGCTCCTAACTGCTACATATTGATTTAACAACATGCTGTCGAGTGGCCAACTGTAGAATAACAGAAACACCACATTTTCAATAATAGTGCCTCCAGGTGGGGCTTACCTAAATTACTTTTAATTTAAAACACTTTTTCAGCTAATTTGTTGTATACTACGAGTTAGAGCCCTGCACGGGCCTAAAATCTGAGCCCGTGTCCGGCCCGGCCCAAGGGGGTGGAGCCCCAGCCTGACCCGGTCCGAAAAGGTTTTCAGGATTCTTTGGCCCAAGCCCGACTTTTCTTTAACCAACTAAATGAAAACAAAGTGAGTCAATCCTGACCGATGTGTTAGAAGACGTGCAGGATCCGATCAATTTGTTTTTCCCTCATTTACCGTCACGGAGATAACGGCGCACTGGCTCTGGTGGTAATCAAGTTAAATTTTATCTCTTTCCAACAATTTTCACAAGAAAACAGAACAGTTAAAAGCAGGGCTTGTGTTGACCGGACAGTTCCCGTTTTGGCCATTTATTTTGACGGAGAAAGAATAGAAAGAATTACCCCGACGCATGCAATCGAATTGACATTTTATTCTACGCACATCGCAGATGTAGCTAAATCACTCAAGAAAAGATTCCCATCTGAACATCTGAGCTGGGCCCTGCTCAGCGCAGCTCGCTCTCAGCGCATATGTGCACAGCAAGCTGAAGATGTGGAGAGGGGCTTGGAGCGCGTCGCAGAACCAGAGCGCATGCGGGAAGGTTCCTCCCACTGAAGCGAGAGGTTTCCAAACCCGGTCTCTCAGAGAGACTTGTCACTTAGAAAATGTTCCCTGATTATGAAACTTTGGCTGAACAGTGCTTGTTCCTGTCTCCAATGTGGCGACACATCCACGAGCCGTCTGAGGAGAAGCCCAGAATCTGACATCAGGAAGCGCCTATGATTACGCACAAGCGTGACCCGTCAACCCGGTCTCACAGTAAGACCGGGTTGGACCTGTTCAGGTTTACGCAGACAATCTTTACATAGAATTGACTTACAGATATAAATTTAATTCAGTAAAATATAAAGCATTTTATTTAAATATCCATTCATTATTTTACAAACACAGAGAGCCGCATCAGATTCAGATCAGCGGGAAGATTCCTCTGAATGAATTCATTCGGAGGAATCTTCCCGCATGCGCTCTGGTTCTGCAACGCGCTCCAAGCCTCTCTCCACATCTTCAGCTCGCTGTGGACCTTATGTAGTACACGCTGACAGCGAGCTGCGCTGAGCAGTGTCCAGCTCAGATGTTCAGATGGGAATCTTTTCTTGGGTGATTTAGCTATATCTGCGATGTGCGTAGAATAAAATGTCAGTTCGTCTGCATGCTTCGGGGTAATTCTTTCTATTCTTTCTCCGTCAAAATAAACGGTCAAATATGGGAACTGTCCGGTCAACACAAGCCCTGCTTTTAACTGTTCTGTTTTCTTGTGAAAATAGATATAATTAAACTTGATTAACACCAGAGCCAGGAGCACTGCGCCTTTATCTCCGTCACTGTAAATGAGGGAAAAACAAAGTGATCGGATCCTTTTCTGACCTTCCCCACCTACAAAGTTTAATTACAACAATCAAACGTGACAGAGCCTGGATTTGTATTCTGAACAGTCTGAACATGTTTTAAAAAGAAACGTATGACAAAAGTGGCACCTGCTCAGTAAAACCACCAACAGGGTGAAAAATATCTAAATATTGTCGGCAGAGATGGGCTACAACTTCTGGAGCCACTTTATATAAATCGTTTTATTGATCATCTTCTTATGAAAGATAGCTTAGACGTACACGAGCGACCGGTACTGGCTGCTGTCACCTGTTGTGAGCAGCGCTCTGCTGTCTGAGGGTAGGCCCCGCCCACAACGCTGCGGCTGCTGTGGCTCCCAGTGTTTTCTTTACTGTGGGAAACCGGTAATGATGGCACTTTGATGGGAACAGGTTGCCGATCCCTGGTTTAAGTGTTTCAATAATTTTAATGAATTTGATTAAAAATAAAGGAGCCCGGCCCGAGGGCCGTCGGGCTGGGCCGACCCGAGGGCCTAGGGCTTCAGTGCAGGGCTCTACTACAAGTTATGGCATGTGTCATTTCAGATACCATAAAATATTCAACAAAAAATCAAGATGCTGGAGGCTGTATTCTGAGAAGGTGGCAAAAGACTACTCCTACATCCCAGAGATCCAAACCATGATCTTCAACCAACGTTTGACAAGCAAGAAAGGTCTTCCTCGACGCTACAAGCTAAGGCCTGAGGATCCAAGGCGTTACGGTTTGCTGTCCGGAGTCCCTGCACCATCAACAGAGGAACTTCTACAACACCTACGGACTCGCGGTGATGGTAAAATAAAACATTATCTGCCTTACATCTTACACACAATAGTCCATTGCTAATTAGGCCCGAGCAGCGAAAGCGCTGCGAAGGCCTCTTGTTTTTGCTCTGATTATTAGGCCCGAGCAGCGAAAGCGCTGCGAAGGCCTCTTGTTTTTGCTCTGTTTATTAGGCCCGAGCAGTGAAGCTGCGAAGGCCTATTGTATCTGCTCCGTTTCTTCTTATTATTTTTTTTCTTCCGCGTCTTTGATTGGCCTTTAGGGGGTCTTAGCATATCCAAAAACTCACCAAATTCTGGCTCAATATAGAAAGTGCGTGAAATTTACGTATTTCACTGGCGGTGTGAATGTTCATTAAAAAATGGCTCGACAGCGCCCCCTAGAAAGTGAAAAATACCCCTCTCCATAAAGCTTAGTTTATCATACAGTAATGAAATTTGGTAAACCGGTACTACTCAACAGTCCGCACGGAAAAGCCTCTAGCACCCATAGTCAATATCAAACAGGAAGTCTGCCATTTTGGGTTGAAATGGCAATTTTTTGCCGTTTTGGCCATTTCTAGGGTCTATATTTGGTTGAACAGTGAAAGTTCATTAAAAAATGGCTCGACAGCGCCCCCTAGAAAGTGAAAAATACCCATCTCCATAAAGCTTAGTTTATCATACAGTTATGAAATTTGGTAAACCGGTACTACTCAACAGTCCGCACGGAAAAGCCTCTTGCACCCATAGTCAATATCAAACAGGAAGTCGGCCATTTTGGGTTGAAATGGCGATTTTTTGCCGTTTTGGCCATTTCTAGGATCTATATTTGGTTGAACAGTTTGGTCATTTTTCACACCATCGTCTCAAAAATAGTGCGAGATCGAACAGAAACGATGGACGATTCAAATGAGACAATAAAATTGACTTTTCGTAAATATTGAAGGGGCGGGGCCAGGCCTCAAAGTTCGAGCACTCGCCAAAAAAATTCAAATAGCCATAATTTCATAAATGAAAGAATTACAGTTAAAGAAATGTTCTATGGACAATCGTCATCGCCCTCCGAAGACAAATGAATGGTCGATTGGTGATGTCACATAAGCCCCGCCCCATCAGGACTTAAAAGGTTAAGTTTTACTGGGAAATTTTCCAAAATTCGCCCTTTCAAATAATCATCCCAGATTTGTAGCAGATAACTGAAGACAAGTTGGGGTTGCTTGGCGTCACTTTATGGGAGATTTCTGCGGAAGGCGGGGCTGTGGCGGCGCGGCGAAGTCAGGCGTACCGCTTAGGCCTTACGTTTGCCTCCCATTTCGTCATTTCTAGAGATATCGCCACGACACTTCTTGGGAGTCATCCTAGTCTGGCCCCAAAAATAATCTGATATGAACATCCGGTGGGCGTGGCCTATTTTCTGAAATAGCGCCCCCTAGGACCATTAAAACTGTCAGCCCAAAGCCATGCTTTGACTGAGGAGTACAAAATTTGGTACACTAATGTGGTGTCTCAGGACCTACAAAAAAGTCTCTTGGAGCCAAGTGCAAAGTTGCACAGGAAGTCGGCCATTTTGGTCCAAGTACTCGATTTAGTGGTTTTCGCACACGTTGTTTGGAGAGTGTTACACCATTGCCCTTTTCACCAATCACCTTCAAACTTCTGCTATAGACTCTTAAGACAAAGAGGAAAAAATTCAACCTACGGATTTTAAATAAGTATAAAGGTGTGGGCGTGGCTAAGCCTCAAACTTTGACCTGTCGCCACGCCACTCTTTTTTTCACAGCTCCCTATTGGACTCCTTTTAACCAATCACCAGCAATCACTGGCAAATAGCAGCAGACAAGTTGAGGTCACTTGGTCTATAGTACTGGCAGGTTTCGAATAAAGGCGGGGCTTTGGGAGCATGGCGAAATTCGCCATCACGCCATGGAAATACGTTTGTCTCTCATTTCTTCAATCATTGTGACATCGCCACACAATTTCTGATGAGTGATCCTACTCTGACCCCTAATAGAACTGGACAGCTGAAGTTTGTGGGCGTGGCCTATTTTCTGAAATAGCGCCCCCTAGGACCATTAAAACTGTCAGCCCCAAGCCATGCTTTGACTGAGGATCACGAAATTTGGCACACTAATGTAGTGTCTCAGGACCTACAAAAAAGTCTCTTGGAGCGAAGCGCAATGTCGCACAGGAGGTCGGCCATTTTGGTCCAAGTACTCGATTTAGTGGTTTTCGCACACGTTATTAGGAGAATGATGTCTTGTCGCCCTTTCCACCGATCACCTTCAAACTCCTGCTATATACTCTTAAGACATAGAGGAAAAAAATCAACCGTCGGATTTTAAATAAGTATAAAGGTGTGGACGTGGCTAAGCCTCAAACTTTGACCAGTCGCCATTACGTTACTTGACTCAATAACTCCCTTGTGCATGATCAGATCAATTTCAAATTTTGTCTGTGTGATCACTGACCACATCTGAAGACAGTGACAATGTGGACAGCTGACATCACCTAAGCCCCGCCCCCTGACT